TACAACCACACACACACATTGTATACATATGTATACGTATTATGTATATGTATGTATGTATGTATACATATGTATATGTATGTATACAGACATGCATACTTATACATACTTATACATATATGTACATATGTGTGTGTGTGTATGTAATATGTATAAGTATGTATGTATATAATACATATACATACATACATACATATACATATGATATGTATATGTTGTATATATATATAATATATATTATTTATATATATTATATATATATATATATATTATATATATAGAGAGAGAGAGAGAGAGAGAGGATATTAATGGGTATCCTTGTCATAAGGAGGGATTTCCTCCTATGACGCTCTAAAATCACATGATTTAGCCTGACATTGTGGATGATCCGCTCCGTTGAATTGATCTACATATTCTAAAACCCCAACACACCAAGTTTTGGGTGAACACCGTCGTCGTTTGACCCTTCATCCACTCGTTTATCAATTTTATAACGGTGGTTGAATGAATAAACTTTTAACATGGCTCGATGAGGGTCAAACGACGACGGATTACACCCAAACTTGTATGTTGGGGTTTAGAATATGTAGATCAAGTTTCAACGGAGCGGATCATCCACAATGTCGCTCAATCATGTGATTTAGAAGCGTCAAGAGGAGGAAATCCCTCTATGACAAGGATACCATAATCTCATATATATATATATATATATATATATAATATATATATATATATATATATATATATATATATATATATTATATATATCTTATGTCAATTAAGTGGACCATTCACCAAACTTTTCTATCTATGGATGATACCTAGGGATCCATACAAATATGAGGAGACTTAATATATATATATATATATATATATAGTGTCAGATGAAACATTTGTATGCTTTGAAAAGATCGGAGGTGCTTAAAAAGCTTTATCGCAAGCACTCTTAATCATGCCTCGATACATTTTGAAGGTAATCGCCTTAAGTGCAAAAGAGAAGTGAATCCTCCTAGACACCTCATTAATTGAAGCAAAGCAAAGGTGTGCTTTGTGGCCCATGCAGCGCTTCTCTTTTGAAGCATGGTTCAAGGGAGAATAGATGTTTAAAGAAAATTTAATGACTAATATATTATATATATATATATGAGAGAGAGAGAGAGAGAGAGAGAATATAGCAGAACCTTGGTACCAAGTTCTTTCATTGAACTTCGCAGTGAGGTGACCAAATCTTACCCCTACATCATGCCTCGCGAGATGAGCCTCTTTTTTTTAAATAGGTGAATAGTGATTGAGGAGCTCTCTCTCGATGCATGATGTAGGGCGGATTTGGCCACCTCACTACCAAGTCAATGGAAGAAACTTTTGGTAGCCAAGGTCTTCATATTTCTCATATATATGATATATATATATTATAATATATATGATAGTATATATATATTATATATATATATATATATATATATACCCCTCGTCATTTTCTTTTTCCTCGGTTTCAAGGATTTGCCCTGCTTCTTTTTATTGAATTTAAGAAAGCAAAACCAGGCATCATATACGTATCATGTCCTATGTCTGCCAGCTTTTGGGCTATGGATTCAAATTGGTTTCCAACAATCATCAAATTTTGGTTGATTCTTATTACTTTTTTAATTTAATTTTATATTGACCCCTAGGAGTTGCTCTCTACTCTTCTTTTTCAGTTGTGTTTATTTCCTATTTCATGTCTCGTTATCCTATTGAATCAATATAACTCTCAGTTTTTTTTTCCTTTTTTTTCTTTTTTAATAATATCTATAACTTTGCATCATATGGTTGTGTGCACATGTGTCTATAGATCAGATGATGTTTCAAAAGTAAATTAGTTTACTGTAACTTATGTCTATACTTAGCCTATTTTCCTCTTATTTATTTTCCAATGCTGCTTGAATAATTCAAATTGACGTACCAAAAATAAGGCTGTTAAAAGGTTAAGGTTGGGTAATCAACCCATTTAACAGAAGTCCTCTCACAAATACCTAGCAAATGGTGGGTGCATCATCATACCTATTTATGCAAATGAAGCAAAGCAAGAAGCTTGGCAGAAAAGTTCTGAATGATGAATATCCAAAAAGGGCATTCCTCATACTTAGGGCTTAGGGCTACTTTTCTGGTAGGATCCATGGCAATTCAGCCCAATAGTTTTGGAGTTAAAGACTGATATCAGTCAGGTTCATATTCACTGTTGCTAGTTGGTAAAAGGCAACTTGATACATCTCTAAGCTACAAATTAACTTCAAAATGAAAGCTAATACAAACTGATGAGATCGTAGTGCTTTGTTCTGGCTTCTGATAAAAATATGTAGATGTCTAGGCGAAGCTAGTAGCATAGGCCAAAGCTGGATAACCAATAAGTCTCTCCCATAGTTTTATCCGCTTGACTGAGAGACATAAAAGAACACAAATCCATACATCATGATGCACATTCAGAGGCTTTGGCACATGTATGATCATTGTTGTAACAAAACTTAGGAGAATTAAAAAATATAATGCCTTAAATCAACAAAGCTTTCAAGAAGGAAGCAACATATGTCACCTTTCATGGAAGGCCGATTCAAGTTGATAAATACATCCACAGCGAACGACTTGTTGACAAGTTTCAGAAACACCAGAATCAGTAAGCTCAAAGTGAAAATAGTTTTTTATGAATTGATCCTGTTTGGGATCAAAAGATATGGTCTTGGAAGATGAACCACTTATTTCATTGCTATGTAAAAGAACTGTATTAGTTCCTTCTCGTGATTCATTGATGTAATTCTCATTGCAACTTGGTCGCTCTTCTTTGTCTCTCATCTCACCTTCCCTAACTTCTAAAAGTCCATTACCTCTTTGGACTTCAGGTTCACCATCACATAGCCTGGAATTTCCTGTTAGAGAGACAATTCTTCTCTTATGCTTATGTTCATCTTTCGGTTTCTCCAGCCCATGGTCATATTGACCAGAATTAACATCAGGTAAGCAACCACTTGAATCCTCAGAATACCCGTCTCTAGAAAACTGATTATCATGGTTTGGCAATACACATCCTTTTTCATATCTTCCTTCACCATTATTACACTCTGGGGGCACTCCAGTTGACATGTCAGTTATATTCAGATCCGTGGATTCTTGAGGAAGAGGATGATCAACTTCAGCAAATGACACACTGGATTGGCAGGAATCATCTTCATTACAACTAGTATCACTGTCTGATGATGCCAGAGATTGTGATTCAGCTGATAATTGCAGAAATTCTTCCTCCAAATAAAGGCGTCGCTGTAGAATGTCCTCCTGATAGTGTGGAGGTGAAACAGGGTATGCTGAAGATGGGCGTGAACCCATGATCTCATCAATTCCAGTCAATGGTGCTGAAACTTGGTCTCCTCTTTCATCTGCCAAAGCACTTGAATGAAGGGAAGCCTTAACCTCCAGATGAGAAAGATTATGTGGTTTCCGAGAAAGAACCTCCACCTGATCCTGTTCTATACTTACTTCTCCAGTTCCCAAAGAAGTTTCTGCAACATCATTACCATTAACCACTAGATGTTCCAGACTATCTTTGCCATTAGAAACAAGATGTCCATTGCCATGATAAGCAGATTGTTGCAAGATATTTGAGCTACTATAACCTTCTGAAAATTGTTGGCAGACCGGTACATGCACTGATATTTCACCAGGAAGCTTCTCAACTAGGCTTTGATTTATAGATTTTCCCCTGCAAGGGTCCACGTTAAGACTAGTGAATTGGTTTCTGCCAACTGCACAATCAGGTGACTGATCCATCCATTCCTTAAACTCTCGCAACCAAAGAACAGATTGCTCTTTCTTCATGTATTCCACCTTATTCATTAAACTGGCTATTTCTGATTCACCATCAGAAATAGCATTCTCATCTTTCATCTGGTTGTCACTATCGCATGAGACTGACTCTTGTTCTGCAACTTCTGAACAAAGATATCTGCCCTGATCCTCGTCTTCGATATTGGCAAGACGATAATAGTTTTTCTGCAATCAAGAGCATCCTTTTTAGAAGCCTGACTGAATTTAAGATATTATGATTTATGACTGATGTGTCATCACCAGTTCCTAAGAAATGGCAGAAATGTACCACCAATTTGAAATCTAACACAACAAATAGCAAGTGCAAGACAAACACTATGTACAGTATGAATTCATCTAAAAATTACCTACCCTTTTTGTATTCAAACAGCCCTCATCCTCAGCTTCATCTTTGGCCGGAAAATAAAACCCATATCCTGCAGGTAGTTTCTGTCTACTAGCTAAAATGATATGCCTCTCCCAATACTCTCTTGTGCTGATACCATGCTCATCCAAAATCAACTGAAAATGCAATAAAGCAGAAATAATCACATTCTCGAGATCAAGTTAACCCTATGATATCCACTTCAATAAAGCAGAAGTAATTACATTCTAGAATATCAAATCAACCATATGATCCACACTTCTACTGTTAACTCTATTTGTAAAGAAAAGGTAAACACAACAGTCCAATGACATTATGCATTATCAAATAATCTAGCTTCTAGAAGACAAGCTAGCAGAATTAAATTAATATCCCAACTGTTATAGCATACTTTCTCGGGATGTAAGAAGAAGCTGAAAACATGGGAGCGGTACCACCGTGCACAACAAAGAGGATTTCCTTCCAACCATAAATTCTGGAGACATGGAAGGCTTGAGAGAATCTCTAACTCTGCGATACTGGAAATAATATTATAAGAAAGGTCAAGCCCTTCAAGTGATTTTAAATTTTCAATCCCCCGTAATGTTGTCAAGGCATTGTTCTTCAAAACAAGTTTGACTATCCGACATGAAACCTGCAAGTGCAACAGACCCATAAGCATACTATTAAATAGCTAAAGGTAATGTAGGAACAAGCAAGATTATTCATAGTTATAATTATGTATCTTATAGTTGGGAATCATTGATAACTCTTAAAAGAATATTTTTTTCAACATTTACATATCATTTTCCAATAACATATACCCAAACGTTCTTCATTCAGGAAGTCAAAATAAAAACACAGTTATGGTGCCTGCGTAATGCTATTACCGTGAGCTGCTAGAAAGACCAAAATCAAAAACTGGACAGTAAGCACACTTCATTTGTATAAAGATCAAAGTGAAAACGCTCAATGAATTTGCTGTCTTGCCCAAGTACGTGTTTGTTAAGATCTCGCTTTCATTTTTCATATTTGCAATTTCTGTAAATGTCTACACGGTACAGTCTTGAGGAAAAACGGGTTCTAAGAGTCTGCTTGTGATTGCAAGTGGCCTGGGGCTTCTCATCTTTGGGGCAAAGCACCCTCAAAACACAGCCCTGCTTCCTAATCAGGCCTATGCGGGCTATGCACTTGCATAGGCTCAATTAAGCAATAAATACTTCTTTTGGACAAAAACCCAAAACCTGAAATTTGTGTATAAAGTCCTGGATCCTAAGTCTATGCCAAAATTCTCGGTTCTCATTCATTGCCCTAACATCTCTCAGTCTCTCACTTCTCCCTCTAAACCTGTCATATCTTGCCTATCGATGGTGATAGTAATTGTTAAGGAGTCAACATCATGACAGGGGCAGGGAGCCACATGATCTAATTAATTCTCGATTGGTACAACTGTTTCTTTCTTTTCCTTTTTGTTTTTTGGTTCCATGGTCTGTTGAGTGGTTGTGGTTTTCCTTTTTGCATTTGTCAAGGTAAATCAACTTTAAGCTGCATTGTGCTAGATTAAAAAGAAAAGCAACTTGTCATTTAAGAAAGAAGCATATAACAATATTGAGTATCACTTTTCCATTATGTCATGAGAGACACCAGAAGCTTCTTATATTCAAACAGAAATATGTGCAGACATAGAATAACATGTGAACAGTAATACAATTAAAATTAACTAAGAGAGAACAGAACCACTATCTTACCTCACCCAATGATGCTATTGAGCGCAAGTGATTGAATCCAAGATCCAAGTGCTGCAGTTTTGTACATTTCCGAAGATTGCTCACTTTAGCAAATTGGTTACGACTCAGATCTAGAGTTTCAACAGAAGGAAGCAATTGCAAGGATTCATCCATTAGAACCAAACCATTGCATGCACATGAAACAAATGATAACCTATTCCACACTGGAGAGTCCTTTATATCAACAATTCTGCTGGCAAATACATGCCTGAGTGCATCCTGAGATTGAGCACCAAAATGTAGTGATTAGGGAACCTTATTGATAATAGAAGTTACTGGGTAGATTCATCAAACTCTACAGATAGCTAGTAGATGGAAAGACGGAATTTACAAGTATCAATCAGAATGCCAGAAAGGCAAAATAAACCCTAGCCAATGAATACTGAGTTTGAGCGTCGAAATTATAGCATTTGGACACATCTAGAACCATAGTTAATTTGTACTTCATTGTGAACCTAACAAGTAGCTAAAATTTGAATATTCAGCAAATATACAAGGTATCACAATATAGACCTTTCAATTCCAAACTCCAAAAAGAAAACGAATTAAGACGTTCTTTGTTCATCTCAATTTATGGAGCATATAATCAGAACATAGATACTTATAACAAAATATCAAAAATTAGCAACTTTACAGTGTGCTATAGTTATAGAGATAAAATATACAACTTAACAAAATCTTTCTAGACTTTCATAACAGCAAGCATAAAGACCTAGCAGATCCATTAGAGTGGAGGCAATTCCACCTCTTCGATAAAATGAAAGATCAATAAAAACTAATGCATACTAAGAAAAACAAGAAAATCGATCTCTTACAGTGGAATTATGACAAATGAGCTTCTCCAAGCAACCTCTCAACTCAAGCAAACCCCTCGCAGCGGACGTCGACAAATCACACCCCCTCAACTCCAAAACCTTCAATCTCCCAAACGCCAACAGAGACACCGGCGTCGGATCTCTCGCCGGCGGCGGCAGAACCGAGATCACCTTCAGCGACGTCAACAGCCCCAAGATCCTCCTAAGCTGCTCCAACGCTCGATGATCCCCAAGATCAGAGACGTAAGCTCGAAGGTAATCGACCGGAGCTCCGGCGAGCAAACCCTCGAGCTCCTGCAGCGCCTCGATGCGAGAATGGACGTAGTGGAGGCCGACGGGGTTGAGTTTTAGGGTTAGGGTTCCGTCGAGGAGAGGGCCGGCGTGGCGATCGACGTATTTGACTAGGTATTCGAGGTACCGATCGCCGGTAACGATCGAAGACATGGCGGAATTTTGAGAAACTGGGGAGGAAATGGACGGTTTTTTATTTATTTTTGGGGAACCGCCATGGGGGATCGAAATTGGGTACGAGGTAACGGATGTTCGGATTTCGGGTCGTCCGGAGAATTGCTGTTGGAGGAGGATTTGGGTGTACGGTGTTCCTGCGGGACATGGGATTTGGGTGTTTTGGAGGAGGACAGATAGGCTTTGGGTTTGTTAGTCTGCCCGGCCTCGTTTTGTATTGGGCCAGCTAAGAAGAGTGGGATCAGATGGGTTTTGTTTTGGCTTGAAGTACATTATTGCCAGAGGATATTTGAGTAGAGCTTTGCTACAGGGACCCAAAATATAGGACCAATAGGAGGGACAAGTGAGGTGTCCCCCTCCTATTGGATAATGAGTTAACTATCATTAATGATGGCCAACTCATTATCCAATAGGAGGGGGATACCTCACTTGTCCCCCCTATTGGTCTCATATTTTGGGTCTTTAAAGAATTTTTCATTTGAGTAACGTATGTGAAATCAAATTATGGGCACACAGTCTTTTTTTTATATTATTGGACTATAAGTCTTATTATCTTATTCATCTTTTTTTTTTAATAAATTCGAAGCTGAATAGTTTCACTCATAAATTTTAGGGCACTAGGTGGGATGACGTGTTTTGCACGTGGTCAAATAATTTGAGTATTTCTTTTGGGTCTCTATTTTTACTAAGTCATTCGTAAAACAATTCATGATTACCATATGATATATTGCACTAAATAAGAATAAATTTTTCAAATCTCTACTTAATGATAATAATAGTTTGTCGATTGGTATCAAGCTCGCTATTGAATTGAACGTAGTTATGTCATTCCAAATGTTAGAACTTTGATCTAACAAACATATTAAAGATTCCGACTTGTAAAAGTTTGAACATGTTATGTCATATAGCAAATGCATGACGTGATGGAAAGTTCATATTAAATCCATACTCAACAAAATTCACATAAGACCAACAAAGGAGATTGGTTAATTACAATATATACAAAGGAGATTGGTTAATTACAATATATAAAACATTAATTTCGAACAATAAAAACTATATCAAAAACGTTACTAATTACTAATACAAAAAACTAATATGATTTTCAATATGAGTAAAATATTTACAAAAATGGAGTTCCCACCAAACGTGTACATCATAATTTTTATAGTAAATACAATAACATTATTCAGGAAAACTGACATTCTCCCTTAAAAAATAAGGTATCAAATCTCTGACTTCTCTTTTTATATTTTGAGAAATACTATTTCCTTATAGCAAAACTCTTGTTAGTCAAATACACAATATCGCTAAAGGCGAAAGAAAATACATACACAGTTTACGCAATGAGAGCAATTCTAGAAAAAGCTATGATCTCAAAGGCATTATGTGAACATATAACCCACCCAAAAATGCCACCCCTTGGAATATTGTAGTACTTGTCACCATTTGCTGCAAAGATAATGAAGTTTAGAGAAGTTTTACTCATAATTCCTCACATGTCAAGTGAACATATAACCACCCAGAAAGACCTTTGGCAAACTTGCAACATTTGTCACCATTTGCACAAAGGGATAGTGAAGTTCAGAGGAGTCTTGTTCAAAATTCTTCAAATGTCCAACATTAATGATGTGTTTGGATTTAAGAAATTGATTTCAACTTTTAAAATTCAATTCTAGAATTTAATAAATTCAAAATTCATTCTAATACTACTGTTTGGGAATGTTAAAATTTCAATTTTAGAATTTACAACTCAAAACTTAATGTTTTAATATTTTTGGATTTTAAGGGGATTATCTGTAGATTTTTATCTATCAAAGAGCTTGTTTATAATTTTTCATTTTTGAAGAGTTGTTCATAATTTCTGACTTTTTCAGTTTTTTTTTTAGTTTTTTTCTAATAATTAATTTTTTTTCATAGGGGTTTTTCATAATTTTTAAACTTTGCGATAGCCTTTGTAATTTCAAATTGTCAAGGGATAATCAAAGATTTCATATTTCAGTGTGTGTTTTATAATTTTTGGATTATTCAAGGTATTTTTTTAATTTTTAATGCTTTTTTATGTAATTTGTAATTTTTGAATTTTTAGTGGCTTTTTTGTTGTTTCAGATTTATCAGAGGGTTGATCAAAATATTTTAGATTTTTAGGGTATTTTTTAAATTTTAGGATTTTTGTGGTGTTTTGTAATTTCAAATTTTCTGAGGAATATTTTTAATTCTTTTAATTTTAGGATATTGTTTTTAATTACATAATATTTAGGGGACTTTGTAAAAAATTTCTAATTTAGATGTTTTCTGTAATTTTTTAATTTATTCAGGTGTTTTCATAAACTAGAAATTTTTTTAGGCTTGTTTGTAAATTTAAACTTTTAGAGTGTCCTATTTTATTATCGATTGCTTCTTGGACTATTAAAAGTTTCTGCTATTTAAGGCGTTTTTTGTAATTTTAAGAATTTTTCAACAAGTTTTACTCATTATTATGTTTTAGGGGCTATTTGTAGTTTTTTATTTTCAGTGTACTACCTATAATGTCAGGTTGACTAGGGGGCTATTAAAATTTTAATATTTTTTCAAGCTTTTTTTATTTTTTAGAATTTTCTATCACAACGTTGTTAGTATTTATTTGATTTTAAGGTTGTGCCTGTAATTTTATATTATTTGGTTATTTTAAAATTTTAGATTTATAGTGCATTTTTGTGATTTTTGTATTTTTAAGGTACTTTCTATAAATGTTAGATTTTTAGTTGCCTGTAAGTAATTTTTAGAATTTATAAATAGAAATTTGCAATTTATAATTTGTAATTGTGTAAGGGGTTGTTTGTAATTTTTGAAATTCTCATGGGTTTTTTTTTTTGATGTTTTAGATCTCTTTGTTTG